AAGGGCATCGCTACTAGGAGCAAGGACGCTACTAGTAGCTCCTGGCCATACTACTAGTAACAAAGGGCATCGCTACTAGGAGCAACGACGCTACTAGTAGATCCTGGCCGTACTACTAGTAACAAGAAGCTACTAGTAACAAAGGGCATCGCTACTAGGAGCAAGGACGCTACTAGTAGATCCTGGCCTTACTACTAGTAACAAGAAGCTACGAGTAACAAAGGGCATCGCTACTAGGAGCAAGGATGCTACTAGTAGCTCTTGGCCATACTATATACTAGTAACAAGAAGCTACTAATAACGAAGGGCATCGCTACTAGGAGCAAGGACCCTACTAGTAGCTCCTGGCCTTACTACTAGTAACAAGAAGCTACTAGTAACAAAGGGCATCGCTACTAGGAGCAAGGACGCTACTAGTAGCTCCTGGCCTTACTACTAGTAGCAAGAAGCTACTAGTAACAAAGGGCATCGCTACTAGGAGCAGGGACGCTACTAGTAGATCCCGGCCTTACTACTAGTAACAAGAAGCTACGAGTAACAAAGGGCATCGCTACTAGGAGCAAGGACGCTACTAGTAGCTCCTGGCCTTACTACTAGTTTCAAGAAGCTACTAGTAACAAAGGGCATCGCTACTAGGAGAAAGGACGCTACTAGTAGCTCCTGGCCTTACTACTAGTAACAAGAAGCTATTCATAACAAAGGGCATCGCTGCTAGGAGCAAGGACGCTACAAGTAGCTCCTGGCCTTACTACTAGTAACAAAAAGCTATTAGTAGCAAAGGGCATCGCTACTAGGAGCAACGACGCTACTAGTAGCTGGCCTTACTACTAGTAACAAGAAGCTACTAGTAACAAAGGGCATCGCTACTAGGAGCAAGGACGCTACTAGTAGCTCCTGCCCTTACTACTAGTAACAAGAAGCGACTAGTAACAAAGGGCATCGCTCCTAGGAGCAAGGACGCTACTAGTAGATCCTGGCCTCACTACTAGAAACAAGAAGCTACTAGTAACAAAGGGCATCGCTACTAGGAGCAAGGACGCTACTATTAGCTCCTGGCCTTACTACTAGTCACATGAAGCTACTAGTATCAAAGGGCATCGCTACTAGGAGCAAGGACGCTACTAGTAGCTCCTGGCCGTACTATATACTAGTAACAAGAAGTTCACAAAGGGCATCGCTACTAGGAGCAAGGACGCTACTAGTAGATCCTGGCCTTACTACTAGTAACAAGAAGCTACGAGTAACAAAGGGTATCGCTACTAGGAGCAAGGACGCTACTAGTAGCTCCTGGCCGTACTACTAGCAACAAGAAGCTACTAGTAACAAAGGGCATCGCTACTAGGAGCAACGGCGCTATAGTAGCTCCTGGCCATACTATATACTAGTAACAAGAAGCTACTAGTTACGAAGGGCATCGCTACTAGGAGCAAGGACGCTACTAGTAGCTCCTGGCCGTACTATATACTAGAATCTAACAAGAAGCTACTAGTAACAAAGGGCATTGCTACTAGGAGCAAGCACGCTACTAGTAGCTCCTGGCCGTACTACTAGTAACAAGAAGCTACTAGAAACAAAGGGCATCGATACTAGAAGCAAGGACGCTACTAGTAGTATAGTAGCTCCTGGCCGTACTATATACTAGTAACAAGAAGCTACTAGTAACAAAGGGCATCGCTACTAGGAGCAAGGACGCTACTAGTAGCTCTTGGCCATACTACTAGTAACAAGAAGCTACTAGTAACAAAGGGCATCGCTACTAGGAGCAAGACACTACTAGTAGCTACTGGCCTTACTAGGACGCTACTAGTCGCTCCTGGCCTTACTAGTAGTGACAAGAAGCTACTAGTCACAACAGGCATCGCTACTAAGCAAGGATGCTACTGGTAGCCTAGTAGCTCCTGGCCTTACTACTAGTGACAAGAAGCTACTTGTCACAAAGGGCATCGCTGCTAGGAGCAAGGACGCCACTAGTAGCTCCTGGCCTTACTACTAGTAACAAGAAGCTACTAGTAACAAAGGGCATCGCTACTAGGAGCAAGGACGCTACACTAGTAGCTCCTGGCCTTACGACTAGTAACCAGAAGCTACTAGGTTCAAGGCGATCGCCTGTGCTACTAGGTTGAAGACAAACATTCAGGACGAGAGTTGTCATGTCCACACAACAACCCGAGCATCCGTAATTACTCTATATATACACATAATTACATACATGTCAACAAAAAACGGACACCATCGTATAACACATTCCGAATATTACCCATATCATAAATACAATAGTTTTTGTACAGTATGTGTTTGTTCTTCCTTGTTGGTACTGGGTATTGTCTGCTGTAGTTGCCGTAGGTTCTTCTCAACTGTTTTCATCTGGTAGACTCAGGTCCCTTTCCTTGAAAATGCTTGCCCTATCCATGTCAAGTCCAAGCATTTCAGCTTGTTGGAGCAGCCGGGTGGTCCCTGCAGCCCAGTGTCTCAACTGTGGAGTCCTCTGTGCTTCTGACTTGCCACGGCGGACTTGCTCTGGCATGACTCGCTGAGTCACCTCCGGCAGGACGCGCGTGCTAAAAGGCACGCTCTCGCACAGCGCGTTTTTGTCGACAGGAGACTTCATGTGCCGAATATGCACAGTTCAAAAACATCTGTTGAACTTTCACAACAAAAATCCGGCGTTAGACAGCCGGCAGACATGGAATCATGGCAGATCTTTTGCGGTGTCTCAGCGTAGAATATGATGGGGCGCAGGAGGTCTATTTCTACTGAGTGACTTTGGCAGTGTTTGTTTGACCTCTCTTTCTGCAGATTCGACTCTTGTTATCAAAAGGCAGCTCACCGGGCTGATGGCTTTGACCACTGTCTTTCACCCAACTTAGGCAGGCGCCATGGAAGGGTTCTTCACATCGAGTCGGTGCCCCCGGCGATTATACCAGAGAGGATGTGTCCACTGGATCTCCACCCAGGTCTGGTAGTCGTGGGGGTTGTAGTATTGAGCCTCAGGATCTGGCACGACCACAGGTGAAAAGTAAGAGGGTCAAAATCACTGTAATTAGTGAGGATTAAAATGTTTGCCCCGCGGAGTCTGAAAGAAACGATTTTTGAGATCAATAGAACATCGTTCGGCCTAACCCAGGGTTCAGAGGGAGTGCAATGGCCGAAACCTTGTCCACAGTTTTCGCACACAAACACCTCCCCCAGCAGCATGCAAAGCCGGTGGCTCACAGAAAGACACTGTTTCTGTTGCAAGGTTTTTGCTCCTGCTGATCTTTAGACAGGTCATGACTCGGTCATGACCGCAGTAGGTGGCAATTGCATTCTCCAGCAACCTAACCGGAATGTGGAGTAGGGTTCCGCAGGAAAGCATCTATATAGTGATCACGTTAAGCATCCCAAACACAAAGAGACAATTCTGTCTAGATTGTGCTGCCCGTTGTGTGTGTGTGTGGGGTGTGTTCATCTCACCAATCTAAAGCCAAACAATGATCGCAGCAAGTTGCTACATTCTCCACCCGCCAAAACGAGACATGGAGTAGGGTTCCACCTAAAAGTATCCGATTTCGTGGCACGCCACCATGTGCAGATTTCCTAGCGTGAGAGGTGGCTTTGGGGGGAGAGCACACCGCACATAAAACCAATGGTCTGCCTTTGTCCCTTCCCTTCCCTTCCTTTCCTTCCTTCCTTCCTTCTTTTTTGACTGATCCTGATATTGTTTGTTGATCTTGATGATATTTGTTCATAGACAATCATATTTTCTTATACCCGTGCCACATACATGTGCATGTGTTCAATGTGTGCATATATATATACATATATGTGACATATGTGTGTATCATATAAAGTTCTATATATATACTATATGATGCATTTCGGATCGGAAAGAAAGCTGAGGGGTTGGTCTAAAGAAAAGAAAGACCCAGAAACAAATTATATAAATGATGGAAAATAGGGGTCTGAAGGATTCAAGAATTCTTAAGGTCTCAAGACATCTTAGCTGTCTGGAAGATTGGCGAAGGCAGCGGTGCATAAATGACGGTGCGGCTGTGGTCCATCTTCTTTCCAAGCAGCGTCCCAGTTTGCATTGACCCGGGCAGTGGTCCAGCCATCGGTCTTTCCTACACCTCGAGTAGCAGACCATCCATCGCTCTTTCTGCTTGGCAGATGGAAAGAGAAGACTTCCAAGAAAACTGGGAGGTTCTCAGCCGCTGAACTTACTGGTGTCGAACGTTCTGCAGTATAGAAGAAATGTGCAGTGTAGCAGAGTGCAAGGGTCAGTGTGTGCAGTGTAGCAGAGTGCAAGGGTCAGTGGTCCAGCAGTCAACTTCCAACAATCACAATTCAAAAATGATATCTGTTGGTTGACTCGATACTGGGCCATCCTTGGCCCCGCAAACGAAGTCGACAATCTCAGCCCGGATACTGGGGTGCAGAACTCCCGATGTGCGATGCTGGACCATAAAGTATCCATTCGGGTCTTGTCCTAGGCTGACGCCGCACCCAATGCACACGAGAGACATGCACGAGCCGCTGGGGTCTCGTGTCCGGCAGCTCTGATCGAATGCACATGATGTAACAAATGGCCTCCAAAGAAGAGGAGGTTCCAAGGAATGCTCGACTCAAGTATTGCCTATGGCTACATCCGTACATGTCATTTTACATGGCAGAAGCTTCCCACGCCAGAGCGCCCAACTAACAAAGCCTGGAAACTGTATCGGTGGAAAACATCAACCGTCTCACCAGCACGTAGGGAGTTCACAGTGATCTGCGGTCCTGAGCAGAGGCAAGAGCTCACAACATCTCACAACAACCAAATGGACTTGACATGGCACCATGCTTTGTCAAAGGAAGAGATGTTCTCCACAGATACAAAGTTTCGTCCTTGTTGATGGCTCCTCAATGCAAAACTGTTGCTATAACTAGCAATAGAAGGACCATCGGAATCCTCTGCAAGCAACAAATGACGGCATGCGAGTTTTTCCACCAATCTACTGAACGCCCAGGCTCCTTCCCCATTGTCATGGTTCTGATGGTATCCTGAGTCAACTGCAAGCATTTTGGGGCAAGCTAGGACAACCAAAGCTTGACTAGAACCCCGGAAGCAATCACATGTTGCTGCTAGGAAGAGTCAGCTGCTCTCCCTATTGGCTGGGGTATCTCTTGTTGTGAAGGTGGGTGAGCAACTGTTCACCAGTTCTTACTCCTGCCAATGGCCAATGGCACTCAGTGGCAGTAACCTCAAGAACATCAGAATACGAAACACAATACTATGTTAATATGTTTCCCCAGCCGTGCCCCGCACTGACTTCAGTCATATAATGCAGGGCGTTGGCGTAGCCAAAAGAAGCCGTGGCATATTTACATATCAGAAAGTTCGAGTGAGGGCTGCATTATAAATTCGTGAGTCTTCAGCAACAGTTTCTGTGTAATCATAACCACCTAAGATATGTTCAAAAGTATGTTGTTTGGCGTAATGCAGCCAGTTTTGTCTCGGGCGACCGACTCGTTTTTTCCCACAAGAAACTCTGAGTGCACAATTATATACAGTGTGTGTATATATATATATATTGAGATATATAATGATATATATATATATATTGAACAGTTGCGACATTGGCAGCCTTGTAAAATCAGCCAGGAATGGAGCCGTGTCAGTTCCGTGCGCTTCAGTGGAACTTTTCCTATGTTGAAGCCATCACCCCGCGAATGCTTCATTGCATGCAAGGGGCCACCCTTTCCGGCTTTACCTCGCAAAACAGTTGATGAGACATTGAACAAAATGTCAAAAAGCCGACTCGGAGAAATTGTACATATGACTTGTCACTCTTTGAGGAAAACACATGTATCTAAAATAGTTGCTTTTACTGTGTTCTTCTGAGACACCCTTTCCATAGTATGGACCATGTCCATAGCCGCGGCTCATGACCGCAATCCCTCGATCGCGGCAATTAATTTCCCAACATGTAACTTGAGCCGACATGGATTTGGAGCAAAAATCATCAGACTTGCGCAGGCTCAAGAATTGACATCTAAAGCTGTGAGCACTGCCATCAACATGTGAAACTCAGCAAGTGTGCCCGACATCCACAGCTGTGAGTCTTTCATTGTCAGTTCCACTTTAGACTTCCTGTTTAGTTGAGATCCGCCATGATCGACCCAAAGACTGGGAATATCTGGGAATCGCACTCTTCAATCCGGTTTCTTCGATCTCCTCGGTCACCTCCAAGCTGCCATTGTCCCCAACAACCCATGGAGCAGTAAGTGCAGCCATGTCCTATATCGGACCCGTCCAGCCCCAGAACAAGGTGCAAGGTGTGCAAGCTGGTGATTGAACTCCCCCTTTGGAGCACTACCATGACTCCATAAGAAACGAAAAGTCTTGCTCAGTAACATTCAGTAACTAAGAGCAAGGGAGGGCGTGAACTCCTTGTTTCATGGAAACCCCAAACCTGAAGGTTGTCTGAAGGCTCTTGAGGGCCATGGGTCAAACCTAACCTCCTAATGGGATGCAATCTACATCACGTTTTTGTCGTCTTCACCAGTGCAGACATACAATAAGCCCAGCGACACAGTGTCACACGACCCTCCAATCGCTGCAAGCTCCATCATCAAAAGAGAACACTGAGGAACCAGTGGAGCCTCCATCGTAGTAGTCATGACTTTCTCGATAGCCGCTGTAGCCACGGTCATAGCCACCTCACACCATTGAACTTCGACCCTCGCATGAGCACTAGTTCTTTCAAGTCCAAGCAACCTGAGCGACTTCGCTGGTCATATCCTCAGTGTTGGCAAGGCCCTCCAACAAATTACTATATAGGTTCCGGTCTCATGCAACGCCAATCAGGTGTCAGGACCAGTTGAGGAAAGAACTGCCTTCAACATCGACCAACTTGTCTCTCCAAGAACAGAACCTGTGGCCAATCACCAAAAAGGTAGAAACCTTTGATGAGATTGCACCGTTTCTTACATCCTGACGTATAGTGTATCCGCACTAACTCCACCACATCTCTAGTCTCATGCTGGCCCTGTGGGGTGAAAAAGACGTCTGTCGTGAAACTGGCTCTTGGTCTTGCGTTCTTTGGTCTTGTTGGCACCAGGAGACAAGATGTCAGTCTTGCTGCGTCTGGTCGTCATGTCGCCAACATGATGACACGGTTGGACGGAAGAGAGGACAATGCGAGGACAAGAAGAGGCCAGGTCCGGCAATGTTTTGAGATGAGACTTCGGAGACGGTAGTAACCAAACGCAAGTGAATTTGGCAGTTGTCTCGGGCACCCATCGCAGAAGTGAAAAAGGAAAGAAACGAAAATGTGGTCGGTGAGGAAATATAAAGAATGAAAGGATACGGAGCGCGTTTTCAACCGCAAGCTTGGGCCTGTATGGCCGTCGGGTTTGTTGTGCATGCGTGCCATGCCTGACAGACTGAACCTTCATGATGCAAATCCTGTCACTCCTCCTTCTGTCAGGCAAAGCTTGCGTAGCCGGATTCCTAATGCCCCTGCAAAATGCGGGCATGCCTGGGAAAAATGCAGAGTCTTTCCAGCTGGTGTCATTCGAAGCTGGTGCAGGCGTTCTTCAAGCCTGCTGCTGTACTTCTCTGCGATTTCCCTTTCTTTCAAAAAATCACCCTAGTTTTCTTTCATACGTTCCACCTGTGCCTCAAGTTCATCTATGTAAGTCCCCTTGGAAAAACATTCAAATTCCAAGGCTTTGATCTTGTCTGTACATTTGGCACAGGGTTTCGCATCAAGCCACTGTGAGGCTTGGATACCGCTATCCTTCATTTCCGCTCTCACACTCTTGTAGGTGTTCTTCATCTGAATCGTGGTCTTCTGAATGCTCTGCAAGAAGACCCCAATGCCCTTCATCAGAGCATTTGCATAGTCGCGCAGCCATGCGCATAGGCTCAAGGCCCCAAGCAATGCACATAGGCAAAATGCCCACCAGCTAAGGTCAATCCTTTGATCTCCTGGTTGTCCTTCTTCAGCTGGTTCACCGCTTACCTTTCCAAGGTTGGCCATGAGCATCAATAGACCAATCCTCAGATCTTTGCTCTTGTTGAACTTCTTTAGGCTCATCTTCATCTGGTACTCTTTCTCGATCTCCTGGAACTCCTCTTCTCCCACGCGGTCACCCACGGCGTCGATCACTCCCATCATGTAGAGCAGCCCACGAAGCCTCTTCTTTGGCAGATTCTTTGCGCCGATATCTGCGCTGTTCAAGTCTGTTGGAATGGGACCCACCTGTATGATCTTGTCCCTTTCCTTTTGTTGGATCCATAGCATTGCCGCGTCCATGTGGCGCACTCTTCCAATGCCTTGTCTCTGTGTCATCCCACGCGCCGCTGAGCTGTCTGATCTGGCCTTTGTTCTGCAGCTGCCACCTGTGATCTGATTCCACAGGTGTCGTAGGAGCATCCCCTCTGAGCATCCCGACACCAAAGCCATGAACTCGCTTTCACCTGAAGACAAAGCTATGGCCTTTTGACTTCGCACTTTGCTGTCAATCAAGTTGCCGTCCAGGTACAGCTGCATGGATGTTGTGGACTTTCTGTCATTCTTGTTCCCTGCGTGGTCTGAGTCTGTCACAATCTCCAGCAGGTGTTCCTCTCCATCTTCCACCTCAGCTCCATCTCTGAAGTCCATCATTGACTGTCCCTTCTTCTTCTCTTCCAGTCGGACTCCATAGCCGCTTGCGCCGAACATGTAGGAGCATGTATGCCAGGCATTCTGCAGAGCTTGCTTTGTTGGTTTGGCCATGTGCCTTGCCAAACATTGGATTGCATATTGTGCATCTGGTCGCTCTCCCGCCATGTACATCAATCTTCCAACAATGCTTCTGTACCTTGTGACCTCACTGCTCTCCAACAACTCTGAGTCATCCTTCTTTCCGAAGTTGGCATCCAGCGGTGTCTTTCTGTAGAACTTTGCATAGATGTCCACGTCTTTCTCAAAGCTGTCGAACTGTTTCCTGTCGCACCTGATGTCGCAGTGGGTTCTACCAAGGTTGAACTGCCTCTTCAGGTAAAAGAACTTGTCTCCGTGGCTAAACGGTCCTTTCTCTTCTACATTCCACTGTTTCTCCTCCTTGAAGTAGCGCACGAGGTCTCTTACCTTGTCCTCTCTCCCAACGATGAACACGTCATCAACATGTACCGTGAGGTAGATGAGGTGCCTGATGAACATCAGCGTTGGTTGCATGGATCTTGCTCAAGTCCATGTTCTCGACAGGCTGAGGCGAACAGCTGGAACCACTGTGATGCTGCTGTTCGTTACTGTGATGCTGCTGTTCGTTGTCCTGATAGGCATCTCAAAAGTTTGAATATGCGGTTGTCAACCTGCGCATAGGCTTTCTCAGTGACAGGTTGCTGTTCCATGAGGAAAGCATCTTTGATGTCCAAAGTGACTACCACGAACTCCCTTCTGACGTTGAGTAGGTAGTGGATGAGCAATTTGGGTATTGCCATGATGGATGTGGGAGCGAATGTGGCATCAAGTTCTATGCTATTTCTGAACTGTCTTGCTACCAATCTCGCACGCCGCCTGAACCATCCTCCTTGCTCGACCCGGTGCTTCCAGCATAGTACCACCTTGGCGCTGGTGATGTAGCCTCCCGTCTCATCCACCTCTGTTTGGTTTGTCTCTGTCATGGCCGGCATGTTGATCATACGCTCTATCTCCTTGTCACGCGCGGCCTTGTCCAGTAGTTCTAGCTCTTCTGCTGACGCTTCTGGAGGATCATCACCTTCTTCTCCTCCATAGCTCCCCAAATACTGTTCTTCCAGTATCTCCTCGGGCAGCAACTCTGGATCCATTTCTTCATCTCCATGTGGCTCCTTGACATAGGCCCCAACTGCTTCAATTCCTGCGTAATGAGGAGGATACAGATGTTCTACAGCGTGAGTCGGAGACATTCTTGGTGATCCTGCAGGCTCATGCATCCCATCTTTCTCCTCCTCCATCTTTCCTTCTTCATCCAACCGTCTCTTTGTTGGTCCAGCTGTTGGAGTCTTTGGCGCTGCTGTTGAACCACTCATCGTAAGTGTCACACCTGGTGTGGCTGGTTGTGATTGTAGTCCAGGTGCTGGTGTCACCACTCCAGTTGCCACTTCTTGCGCAATCTCCTTAAGCTCTTCCTCACTGGCTTCCATCTCAATTGTGGGTTGTCTGTACCGTTGCGCTTGGCCTGCATGCTTCATTAGGATTCCTTGCGCAGAGTAGCTCCATGGTAAGCCTTTTGCTGTGAAGATCTCGGGCCCGCTGAAGCTCTCCTCTGGTGACAACCTTCTGATCGTACGAGCTTCGTAGGCCCCAGTAGTTGACAGCACGACATGATTGTCGTTCCATGGATGTTTGGTCACCCAAACGCCTTTCTCGAACACTGCGCAGCCCTTGTTGCGAATGGAGCGCTTGAACATCACACTCTCCCCAAACAATGCCAACTTCCCTCTGTATGGATGTCCAGTGCGAAGCTGGTGCGGTTTGAGCCATCCAGAACTCGAAATCTGTTGAACGAAGCATGTTTGAATGCCCATGGGAAGATGTCAAAGTTCCCGGCGATGTCAATCCTGGCTTTATCTTCTGCATACCACCTCAGGCAGTTTGCCATCCTCCTGATCGTCTGAACAGCTCGCTCCACTTGTCCATTTGAGGCGTGTTGGCCGGCACCAGTGAGTCGAATCTCCGTCTTCATCCCCAGCACACTTCGGACTTGCTGCACTGATCTGAGCAGCTGCCGAGTGGCTCGCTCACTGTCGGCCTGGATGATGCATGGTTCTCTTGCTGAGTTCTCAAGCGCAAACCTCACAATCTCCTCCGTCAGGGTCTTCAGGCTTGCAGTTCCCTTTGAAGGTACTGGTACTGC